ACACACATATGCAACACAGGAGCAGTGTGTCTGCAGGAATTATGCACAGGCATTCCCAGGGATGCATGCACAGCCTCTAATGCATGCTTTGTGCGGGGATACTGAGGGAATTCATATAGCTGCTGCATAGGATCAGTATTTGAGTACATCACATCTTATTTAGCTCAACATTGCTCTTTGCCTGTGATTGTGCATGATTTTCAGATACTTCAGCACCACCTTTCTCATATGTGGACACGGTACTCTGGATTTAGGAATGCGTGGGATCACTGAGAGCAAGGAAGGTCACTGGGAACATGTAAATGAGTAGAATGATTCAGCCGATCCAAATGTAGGTTGTGCATTAAGTTACATAAAGGCCACGCACTGACAAAAGAGGATATTCTGAGTATCAAGCTCTCTGCGATGGGATTGCATTGAACCAAGTACAAGAACATTCTGCCTCTAAAAAACTCAGTCCTTTTTATTTCAACTCCTTTCAACTCTTTTTTTCACATCATCTCAGAACCCTGGATTTTCAAAGCCCATTGATACCAGATGCAGAAGCACAATTCGGTCAAATACAGAATCAGAAACGTGGTGCTGGATGTCACAGGGGAGGAAATTTTTCACTGAACAAGGATGGAATCAGTAAAAATGATTTGACTGATTGACTTTTAATCTATCTATCTATCTATCTATCTATCTATCTATCTATCTATCTATCTATCTATCTATCTATCTATCTATCTATCTATCTATCTATCTATCTATCTATATATCTTTCTATCTATCTATCTATCTATCTATCTATCTATCTATCTATCTATCTATCTATCTATCTATCTATCTATCTATCTATCTATCTATCTATCTATCTATCTATCTATCTATCTATCTATCTATCTATCTATCTATCTATCTATCACTGTGATCATGGCAAATAAGAACCACTATTTGATCACTACTCTATGTCTTTATGAATAAGTTTTGTATTTCCTAAATTGTTCACTATCTCCTTATTCTAAGTAACATAACTTCAATGGTTTATTTTGTCCCTTGGTATTCTCATGTTTATCTGCTCCTGGCACGCTTCCTCCCTTTTCTCGCTCTTCAAAGACTCTACTCAGCTCGGGCCTCACTCCACTGACTCTCTGTCATATACAGTGTGTACACAGGCATACAGAAAGGTACTGTGCAATAGCACTAACCCTAGGGGGCCAGAACAAAGTGAGCACTTTTAATCAAACTTGTGTCGAAAAGTGAGGAATAGGGGAAAGGAGAGGTGTTTCTTGGCCATGTGAAGAGGGTTAAGGTGGGGGCCATTAAAAATGCCGACACATGATGCCTATTCTTCCTCAGTAGGATGACATTGTACAGTGTCTAAACGTGGGATGGGAATTATTTAACAAACCAAAACACTCAATATAGAATCCATCTCACAGCTAACTCGCAGTGTGTGATGAGAAAATCAATGTGCAGAGATTAGTTTGTCATTTAGATTTCAATTATTTCCCCAAAAATTGAATTAAAATGTGTCCTATTTGGAGCCACATGCTTCTAAAGCAGGAGAGCACTACTGTATGAATCACTTGTCATTTAAAAGCACAGAGGGGGGCTGCCTATGATACATAAACAGATTTGTTCCTGAGGAAAAAAAGAGCTTTCCAGCAGGACTATGCCGAATGGATGTCTGATTGCTCATTGCAATGAATGAAATGAATTGCTTTCCCAAAGGAGCCTTAGGAAAAATGTGGAAATCCATTCATGATTTCCATGAATTTCTTCTCATATACATAAAATGGTCCCAACATGAAATAAAATCTTTTGTTTTCTAGGTAGCAAAAAAGAAACATGGGGGGAAAAAAAATCTGATCACCAAAATCACAGAGGGAGTCATGGAAACATTTCAAGATATTAAAAATAAATTGTATAGACACATTTTAGCAAAGGAAGAAAATTAAATTTCCCCTAACTAGATCCTCTGCAATAAAATGAAAGCCAATGTAATTGATCTTGCGTCATAATACATCTTATCTTAGTTGCCTCATTTCTTTGTAGAGCGCTGCCATGATGTCATGCTGTTTTTGTTTATCAAAACTGATAAACAAAAACAGCATGCTGAGAGTCAATAGCATCATGTTGGTAAGAAATCAATAACAAATGTCAAAAGGTCCAGATGATCCTTTGGCAATGCCAACAACTCACTGCACCGACTTTCATGTAAAAGGAGACAAAGTCATTATTAGTAATAACAGCTCTGATTAGCAGATGGAACTTGTCTGAAGCAAGTTGCTGGAAAACAAATCTGAGTTGATTATAAAACCAAAGCACAAATCAGGAGGGACGGAATCATGAAAAGCATGCGTCTGCCACTCTGTTGGCAACATTGTCTTTGTTGTGATCGATAAAAGGCCAAAGATACTTCACATCATGATCCTGTTAGATATCAGCATAATTCATTGTGACAAGCTTTTCAGGTTTAATTTATTAGTTGAAATAAAAAATGTCTTGTTTCACAGGGCAGCACATTTACTGCTATGTTACAATTCCCCAAATCACCCAAACTAGACAATAGGTACTTTGAATTTTTACATTTTTAGGTCCTGCTTTAAATGTCTTACATTTATATTTGTAGCAAGAAATGGCTGCTATATATATATATATATATTTTTTTTTTGCATGCTTGTGTGAGAATGAGCGAATGAAGTGGGGAGTTGATGGAAAGCAGAGTGTATTTTATGTAACACTATGAAGTAGATCAGAGAGCAGAGCATGACCTATTTTTGGGGCTCCGTGGAGACAATATTTCTCTTCCATGTACTGGAAACTATGATTCCTGCACTTCAAAATCCGCTTTTACAAATCTTGAAGTGCTTTGGAAGAGTGAAACGCAGCGAGTTAACACTTCACCTCTCTCTTCAAGGTTGTGAAAAGACGTCAGCTTGAAAGCATCTAGAAACACACCTCATGAATTGTTTACAATAGGTGTCTGCATGCAAGATATAATATGGTAATTCAACATTTGACACTGGATTAAACTCGAGTCAACTCTCGTCCACGTGTCAGAGGGCTCTTGGGTGAGGCAATGAATCTGAAAGTACTCACTTAAAGCTTCTCCCTCACTTCGGTGGAGGGAAAAGTATCTGCTAATACCATAAAAAGTATGTAACCAGGCAATATATTGTATGTTACATTTTTATGTCACACATGGAAAATCAAAAGATAGAAAATTAAATGTTCTAGTCCTGGTATATTTAAGACCATTATAAACATAGTTTCCAACCAAATTAATGGTTTTTATTTTAAAGTGAATATTCACATGTGTAAAAAATGTTTGACTACAGCCAATCTTCCCAGATCAGATGTCCCAACAAATGTACTTATTGGCGCCTGCAATAGCAAATCATAGGAGAACATAGTATATATTTTTTGTAATATATTTGCCACCAATAACACAAAGAATCTTCTGGAAAATCCACCAACTGCACAACTCTTGTTCAGTGATGTTGGATTCACTCCTTCTCCGTTCCGTTAGAGGGCGCTGTAGTTGCTTTGCGTCAGTTAAGTGAGAGAAGAAACTTACGGCAGAAAAGCAACGGCACAGAGATCGCCGTTAGCTGCAGCTAACGGTATTATTGACTACAAACGCATATTTAATCGACGTTTATGAGTGTTGCCCAACGTAGTGAGTTACATCAATGTTGTAAGCTGTCGGAGATTAGTTCTCGTTATGTTACTAAATATTGATGTATTGTTTTATTTTTTATTTACAGTTTAACCGGCATGTACGTTAAACTGTAAATAACGAGGCAATAAAACAATAACAACAACAAAAACAACGACTACCTTATGTTCTTTGTAACAAGTAATATGTAGATTTGTAGTATTTCAAAGAAGCAAAGGAAAGTCTTTTCTTTTTTTTAACAATAACATTTGTTGTTAATTTGTTGCCAAGAGACTAGCGTGTTTCCTGGTAACCAGTTGCCACAAAGTAAACATCTGACTTTTACTTTAAGGAGATGCAGTATTTCAAAAGAGCTAATGTTTTAGAAGCAAGAATATTTAGAATATTTACCACCAAGAACAAAAAGAAAAAAAAAACATTTTCTATAGTACGGTAGTGTAAAATAAAAAGTATTCAAAAGGGCACAGGTAATCTTATGTTTTTTCAACAATAGTATTTGTTGTGAATCTGTTGCTGAGAGATAAATGCGTTTTCTGGAAGCCGTGTGCAACACAGTAAACATCTGATTTTTACTTTGCAAAATTTATGAACTGTAAATTTCTTGCGTCTAAGCAGATGAACAGTATTTCAAAGGAGCTTATGTTTTATAAAGAACAATTAATTTAGTGTTAAGAGATGAGTGTTGTTTTTTTTTCCTGGTAACAAACTGTCACGAAGTATAAATCATGTTTTTACTTTTGTGTTGAATGTCTGTTTTATAATATATTTACCACCAATGACAAAAAACTAAAAAACATTTAACTCTTCTGCCAAATTCACAAACTGGACTATTCTTTCAAAGTAGTATAAGTAGTATTTCAAATAAACAAAACTGCGTTTTCTAGTAGCAAAGTGCCGCAAAGTTATCTTCAGATTTTTGCTTTGCAAAATTGACCAATTCTAAATTTCTTGTGTCTAAGTAGATGCAGTATTTCAAAAGAGCTTATGTTTTATGATCAATAATATTTCTCGTTATTAATTAGGAGTTAAGAGGTCAGTGTTTGTTTTTTTTCTCCTGGCCATAGAGTATAAATGTCTGTTTTATCACACATTTACATCCAATGACAAAAACGAAAAACAAAACAAAAACATTTAGACTTGTCTGCCAAATTTATCAACTTCACAATTCTTCATAAGTATTATAAGTTGAGTAGTATTTCAAAAGAGCAGAAGAAATCTTATGGTTTTTGAACAATAACAATATTTGTTGTTCTGTTGCTAAGAGACTAGGGCATTTTCTGGTAACCAAGTGCCACAAAGTAAACGTCTGATTTTTACTTTTGCAACCGTAAATGTCTTTTGTCTAAGACAATAAGAAGTATTTTAAAAGAGCTTATGTTTTATAAAGAATTAATTTGGTCCTAAGAGATGAGCGTTATTTTTCTGGTAAGGAACTTCTTCGAAGTAAAAATCAGATTCTTACTTTTGTGCTGCGAATGTCTGTTTTATGATATATTTACCACTCATGACACAAAGACAAGTTTCACTCTCCTGCCAAATTCACCAACTGCATAATTCTTAAGTAGTATTTCTAAAGAGTAGAAGAAATCTTAGGTTTTTTGAACAATAACACTATTTATTGTAAATCTGTTAAATGAGGGCTTTTCTGTTAACCAAGTGACACAATGTAAACATCTGATTTTTTTATTTTTACCAACTGTAAATTTCTTTTAGCTTAAAAGATGAGCGGTATTTCAGAAGAGCTTATGTTTCATAGAGAATAATTAATTCGGTGTTCAAAGATTAGGTTTTTTTTTCTTCCTGGTAACAAACTGGCACAAAGTATAAATCTGATTTTTACTTCTGTGTTGAATGTCTGTTTCATAATATATTTACCACCAATTACTCTTCTGCCAAATTCACCAACTGCACAGTTCTTGATAAGTAGATAAGAAAATAGTTATTTTTAAAAAAGCTGAATAAATCTTATATTTTTTGAAAAATAACAATATTTGTTCTATATCTGTTGCTAAGACCTGAGGTTGTTTTCTGGTAACCAAGTGCTACAAAGTAAACACCTGATTTTTACTGAAGTAAAAATCAGAAGGCAGTGCATTGATATTAGCACAAACATGGCTAATGTAGCTACTGCCCAGATTAGCAGTAGCCTTTTACCTAAAATAACCTGTGTAGCTACTCTTTTTTTTCATTTATTGGCAATGTTTATCACACTGAATGGAGGAAGTCAATGTGAGAACCTCGTTAAACCCCACATGCTACTGGCAGCATTTTGGCTAATTTCAGCTTATACACTAATTTTAACATACTGATTGGAGTAAATCCAGAGTAACATGCTTGTTACATTAGCACAAACATGGCAAATGTAGCTACTGTCCATGCTATTAAGTACATTTGTACTCAATAGCATGTTCCAACCTATTATGCCTATAGTTCCAACCTATAGGCATAATTTAGCAGGCACCTTTTAAATTTCTTTAGAAATGTTCTAGTTATCAAACTACACTGTACTCAGATACGTTCCTAACAAGACGCTACATAGTACATGCTACAAGCTTCAGTTTACATGTTATTTATTAGCTTGGGAGGTTAATTTTGGAAATTGATTGACATTGTTGTTTGTTTAGAAATATTGCTGGAAGAGAGGCAAATCAAAACAATAAAAATGTCTGTCCATCCATGTAGCATACCATATTTTCAACCATATTTTAGTTAAATTAAACGCACTTCTTTCTAAGCTCATACTCTTTTTACATTACTTCATGAATAAAAAGAAATCTAAATCTTCCATGATTTAGATGTTTTGGAGCCTATAATACATTTGTGGTTAAACCTATTTATCTCAACAGCTTGCCTGTGATTCTTTTCACTTATTTTTATCCTTCTCCAATATTTTTTGAAGATGTAGATTTCGATGTCTAGACAAATGGACAAAATAGACTAGGATTAAATTATTATTTTCCCAAAATATAAAAAGATATAGGTGTATTCCACTCTTGAAAAGCGACATACACTTCTGCTGCACAAACCACCTCACTTCATCCGCAGAGGGATCATTAGGAGTGTTTGAGGAGTAAGTGAAGAGACCATGAGTGGAGAGACTGAGTTTATCTCCTCAGGCAGAGATAGGTCTGGCATTTAGCCCATATCCCAACACCCCTGTCACCATTCAGACTGTGAGTTAAAATAGGTTTGTGTAGGAGCCTACTAAATGTGTGACAAGAAATTACCTTAAACTTTGGAAAGCCCTGAGTCATTTCTTCAAACTGTTTTGAGCTCAACAGAGTTCTTTTGGGAAAAAATGGCATTTCCATTTCTTAGAATTTTCCATCACCAAAGCACTTGTGTTACCTGCTTAGTTGGAGCCGGATATAGATTTCTCTTTCATGCAGTCATCTATCAGAGACATTAATAACATTAATTGGCCATTACGTACCACTTGGTGAAGTATACTCTACTACATACACTTAAGTATATTTGAAAGCAATTTTACGTGCACAGCATTTACTCAATTATGTAACAAATATGTTTATCCACAGTTGAAAATAGTTCCACCCGGTTATGCTCTTTATTTCTGTTTGAGTCATGTTTGTCTAAAACTAGACTGCATTTCTCTTAAATGTTTGTCAATCCAAGTCTTCCACCTACCTTCTACCTATTCTAAATCCTTTTTTTTGTTTGTTTGTTTGTTTTGAGGGCTCATTTTAATGCTTGGAGGAAAACAAGATGAATTTACAATTATGTCCACTTCATCCTGTCATACAACCCTAATTGACATCATATTTAGTCATGAGATTACACAGCACTGAGACTTACGAGTTTGAATGTAATTCTTTCTGTGCCATATATGGTCTTTCTTCTTTCTTGCCACCTCTCTGTGTTTCTGCCTTTCTTCCGTTCCTTGTCTGGTTACATAAATGGCTGCGAAGGTTTGGCTGTGTGGGCTGCGGAGTGGAGGTGGACATCACCATTTTATAAACTTTCATTCAGGAAAGAGTCTCCAAGGTCAGAAGTCGTGCAGACTCCTCAGCCAGATAGGTGTGTTGGAGCAAAAGATCCCATTTCCACTGGTTTGCACATGAACATGGACTTTTATTGATTAACATGAACATTTTGACCATTTAGCTTCATGCCATTATGGAACTGTATACTTTCCACAATGCTGTTTCTCAATGTGCCGCTCAGATTTTTTACATGTTGCAATAATCTATTGGTCTACTGTTAGTGAAGTTGTTGTTTGGGAATTACCAAAAGGATACACAAAGGTTGATCTATTTTTGGTAAATTATGCTAAACAAGGTAACTGTAGGGTGAATTTTGACATAAAAATTGAGGGTTGAAGTTGTGCTGTATTTTGATCTGTCACAAAAGGAGAAGAGGCTAGTGACACACAACACAGTTAAATCTATAAATACTGATTGATGCTTCTGAACACATATTTAACTAAACCAATGGGTAAGTGATGCATTTGACTATTTCTCTCACATGCTGTCTTTTAGTCCCTGACTACCGAGAGTGGGTCTAATGTTGCAGGCAGTTATATCTGCAGTGTGACATCAGATGCAATGTTGATAGAAATGTGGCTTCACTCTGAAGTTTGTAGAAATATTTGCTGATATGTTTGCTTATGCGTGTACATTTGTACTCTTTCTGTAAATGTGAAATGTTCTTCCCTGTCATCAGTTTTGTCAACTTATGTTTTTACTATACTGCCTACTGTCAATAGTAAAGAAAAAAGCAGAAGAACAAGTAGGCAAACAATGAATGTTCTGAACAATAAGAAACTTGACTGACTGCATTTCATGCAGACAGTTATGGTTTGTTTGCTTGCAGGCAGTTATGAAATTGAAACATAAGAGTTATAAAAATGTTTTAGTGTAAAAAATTTCCAGTTCTTTGAAGATTGGTGTAAATTGGTTATATAAAAAACTTTGACAGAATAATTTCATTCAGTCACATTTCCTGTGTTTTGTTTTTTGGGGCTTGAATGATTAAGTGCATTAGACTTTGGAACGATTAGTTGATCCTAAATTATTGAAGGCTGGTATTGAGGAGAAAATGAACATTTTGGCCAACTGTTGTAAAATCCTACAAATATAAAGAAAATAGGACAACAAATGAAGACTTGAATTCCCAGATCAGTAAAATAATTTGAGGATTTGGGGTTGAAATTGGGAAAGGATGGTGCATTGCTTGTTCTTCAAGCCGGTTTTGGTAGTTTATCCAAAAAAACTGAGCGATTATTCACTGAGATAGTGTATAACTTGTAAACCCTAAACAAAGTTTACATGTTTTTCACACCGTGAAGTCAAAAAGATTACTTATTTCTTTTCAAATATACCTGCAAGAAATATTCTTTTTGTTATTAAAAACACCAAACAAATCTAAAGTTTTCTGCAGATCTTTCGCTCCGTAGAGGGTATTATACTTATTTCTCAGAGTAGCATAATAACTTGAAAACTGATGGCCTGTGTGAAATAGCCTGGGGACAGACAAGATGATTTGATGATCCGATGCAGTGCTATTATGTTTTAAAGCAGGCTGGTGAAATATAAAGTCGGGAGAAACATATCAGATACTGCAAAACTGAAAGATAGAACAACTGGGAACATTTACAAGAGATAAAGGCCTTGGACATTAGTTTATTATTTATATAATTTTATTATTTATTTAATGTGTTAAGTAAATAAATTTACTTCATTTCTCTTTTGGCCAGGGATCATATACAATAAGCCAGCCATGCATGCATGCATGCATGCATGCATGGATGGATGGATGGATGGATGGATGGATGGATGGATGGATGGATGGATGGATGGATGGATGGATGGATGGATGGATGGATGGATGGATGGAATTAACTGACACCAGATGCAATGCATTTTAACTTGTTTGATCTGATATGGCAGATCTAACAAGTGACATAAAATACTTTAGCAAAAGGAGAAACTTATCAAAAGCTGATGTAAATCCGTTGAATATAATAAAGTTTGTGTATGGTCTGTGAAATATGAAGGCAGTCAGCAGCTCAACAAAGACATGGAAAAGCATAATGTCTCAGAGCCCTCTATAATCGGAATAACAGCTTTTTGAAAGTGCAAATGGATTAGAGCAAATTGATCTGTCTGGATATCATTGAGTCTATTTATCTTAATTTGTAAAAGCACTTTCTACCGGAACTTGATGCCTTGCAGGTAAAAATGTTTTAATTGTGAACAAGAGAGCACGAAGCAAACACATTTCACCTTCATATTTTTTATGTTGTTTGATTACTAAAAATAGTCTAAAGCTCTCTGTTTTAGTGCATTTCAGAGAATGACAATTTTGTCAAACATTAAAGGAAGTAAAAACAACTCATTTTTATGTTCAGGGCTGACATATTTCAAAATCATTTGGCCAATTTGATCATAATAAAATGTGGGTGATTTAAAGGATTCTTGGACTGTTAATATGGCCATAGAGTATAGCATTCATAATAATGTTTATACAGACAATGTTTTGCAAAAGTATTTATTATTTAGAATTTTTCATAATTTAGTCTTGAGACATTTTGTGACAAAGACTGTAATATTGATGCTCAGACATCTCCATCAAACCTGATTCAGCTTTAGTTGAGGCAAAAATGCATCTTTTCTCTTGATGTGCAAAGTTGGCAGAAGTACTATTATGCTCAGCTTTGTGTCATTTCACCACTTCAAATCTCAACCAAATTTTTAATTGAGATATGACGCAATCTTACAAGATGCAGAAAAGGTCAAGTAGTATGAACTCAGCATGGACAAATCAGTGGGAATGACGTATCTTACTACAGACAGTGGTGAGACCAATTCTGATGCTCGTGAAAGTGTTTACATTTATTTTGTTTTATTAAGTGAAACAAATGTAATGATCCATAAGACAATCCTTATGGGTCATTCCATATGGAAATATAAACAAAAACAAAGTATCACTTTTTCTAATGATGAGGTCAATTTAGAAAAAGTCATCAAATTTCAAGTCTAAAAAAGATTGTTTAGGGTATTTTTCTACAACTGAACATGGTAATGGGTCACTTTTGACCCGCAAGACAACACAAGGAACTGGACCATGTGATCTTATCTAACAGACCGGGAAGTATTTTTCTAACTTAGCGAAGCACTGATTATAATTTCTGATAGATAGGTGTCAAATGAAGCTGTGAATCTCAGTTTGTTGGCTCAATTGAAGAAAGAGTCCTGGATTTATGAATGATCTTTTCTTTAATGGTGGATGGTTGTGTGTGCCTCATTTACCATGGGAACAAATGCCACAAAAAATGGGAAGAAAGCAAGTAAATGGAGTCATTGTGATGGATTTGATTATATTTTGCTTGGAAATTTTGAATTGTTCCATGTGGATGTAGCTTTGACATGCACCATCTACCTAGTCATTGGTACAGGTTATTTACACCCTTTTATGAAAGGGTGTAATTGCTGTGACCACTTTCAGCAAGTTACATCATCCTGCAACTATAAAACTGATTCAGGAATGACTCGAGGAGCATAAAAAAGGTTTTAGGTGTTGACTTGGCCTCAGAGTTTCTCAGATCTAAGTCAAATTGAGCATTGTGGATATACTGAAGAAACAAGTCAGATCCATGTAGATGTCTCATTAAAAATGTACAGGATCTAAAGGATCTTCCGCTGACATGCTTGTATATTCCCAATCATCCAAATTGTATCTACTACACCAAACTTAAATCTGTTTTGCTCAGCAAAAGTCTGGTTGCCTCTGAATTGAGCCTGTTTTTGTAGATATTCTGTTGACTTCTTGTAACCAGGTACCACAACACACCTTAAGGAGACGAGTGGAGTTCTTGCTTTGACCAATCGGGGCATTTTTAAGACAAACCCACAATTAGGTAAGAGGACAAGACTGCTAGTATTTACAAATTGTTATGCATGTTAAGATATTTGTATCGGGACACTGACTTTGATTGCAACATCTAAAAGGATGACCAACAAACTATTCTAACTTTTAAAGAAAGTCATTCACATCAGTTTTAAACACTTGTTTGACTTGCAGCAACTAATTACAGGCATATTGCTGCAGAGCAAATCAGTCAGAGCATATCATGAATCATTATACAAATTAATGTAAAGTCATTCATTGCATCAATGATTAACAAACATCTAACACTCCTTTATGTCACTCTAAGCTAAAAGTGTCTTTTAAAACCTTGCTGGGCTTTTTGGAGTTTTGTGTGCACATACGCTTGTTTTTGTAGATGACGGGAATAGAAATTACACTAATCATTCCACTGATGTTTTTCTTTCCTTTTAAGCACCACTGTACATGAAAGTTTGTGTATGTTTTTAAATCTTGGATATTTCTGCACACATTGGATCAGAAACTCTATCAAAATTTCTCACATTTTTTACAAGAGGATTAAAGTGAACACAGACTGCATGTGGGAGCAGTCTTTGTACTTAAATGAAATGTCCTGCAGTGCTAAAGCTTGCGTGTTTGACAAGCTGGAAAGTAAATATGCCTTTCAGTGTTAGTGTATGCGACATAATGGGATCTCCTACATTATGCTGGGGTGCTCTGGTTTTTTGTTATTTTCCAAAAGCGTTATATCTCTGCAATGTATCAAAGTAGAGCATTCTTACCCTCAGTCATTTTTCCAACATAGGTGACATCAAACTACATGCCAGAGCTGAGTGAGACATCATCAGGATACAGCTTAAAAACTGCTATGTCATTCTGACTGGATAAGTGCAGTTTAATTCATATCAAAGAGAAGCAAGATGATGAAAAGACATGAGCCCCAACTACAAGAAGGAAACCTGGCAGATTGTCAGAACAGCTAGCCTTGGGATCCCACAGATTAATGGCAAGCATTAAGTGACCAGTTCGGACCAATTTAAGTCTCAGATATGGTTTTCTTATGAGAGCTTTTATCACAGTGTCTGAGGGTATCTGTTGACAGACAGGCCTCAGTGAGGGATAGTTCACTCCTGCATTTACATTTGCAATGCCCCATGACTGGTTTAATTCACTATATAGTGGAAGTAATGTTTAACAGAATATATGATGAGTGCTTCAAAACTGCCTTTCATTCTACATACAGTATATATATTCATATACACTATGTGGACACTTTATTTGAAGTGTTTAAAGCCGGGGACAAACTGTAAGACTTCCACAATCATCCCAGATTTTGATCCACAGCATACCGTGGATCAGACCGCTCTTGTTTCTTGACTGAAAGACTTTGGCTCACTCACGCAACTGGACCAGATCAGGAATCACAAACGTTACAATTTGTTGGATAAACTAAAGCTAACATAAAGCTCTCAAGGAAACTCTAGGGCCCCAGATTTGAACGAACAAGCCAATACCAGTAGACGATGGTGATGGTTGCACTGTAGTTCTATTCTTAACGCTTTTGACAATGTATTCAGCTTTTCATAAAGACTTGCCATTTATTTATCTTGTATGTCTTTATGTCTGAGCTAAAGTGAAGTCATGTACTTACAAATACCTTGAATTTCATCTGACCAAAATCTTTTTGGATTTTCTTGGTTCAATTTCCAAATCTCAGCAACATAAGTCAGTCTTTATGCTCCTTTTATGTATATATATTCAAAGAGGGTCAGAGTGGATTAAATTGGTCCGTGCAGCAGTCTATTTCAGCAGGAGAGCTGGGCAAGTGAGACTCCCTGGGATTAAAACCTAATTTAATGAAGACGTATAGCGTGAAAATCTCCAGATACGTCCTGGTGTCAATATCATGAAGACGCTGTGGACGACTACTGCGACAAACGCAAGAAAAGAGAAAGATAAAGGGCAAAGGCTGATGGTGTAAAGTCCTACGAGATTTAAAACTTGGGTTTAAACATATTGAATTTATCTGCTACGATTTCTGTCTTTCAAATGACTCCAAACAATGTATGTCCTTGTTGAAAGCTATTCATAATTATTGAAAAGTTCACGGATTTTTTTTGTTTGTTTGCATTTGATGGTTTGAATGAGGATTGAAATGCTAGTCAGCTGAGTTGGTGGATTTGTAACTAGAACTTGTTCTTATTACTGTGAGTTGGTACCCTCTTTGGAACATCTCCGCAAAATTAAATGCAAATTTCTTCTCTTAGTTTGTCTTCGGAGAGACAGAAGCAGTTAGAGGCAAGGAGACCTGGTCCACGTTCAGCCCCTTGCACCATGCGTTGCTGTCTGTAAAATATTTACATATTAATATCCTGCAGGCATCCTCTGGAATGAATTAGATTTTATTTACATTTTCAGTTCTGAGTGGATGAATATTTGCCTGCAAAACTGACACACTTAGAGGTCCTCCTTAATTACTGACTCCTGGCTAACCTTGCTGCCTGAACTTAGCTTTAAAGCATCAATTGTGGCTCATCAATTTCTATGTAAATCAACACTATAGGCGTGAGGAGGGGATAATTGTTTTCTAACAAAGCTGATGTTTTAAAGAGGACAATTGTGTTATGTAACCTTGTGTTGAAAGAGAATTTGCAAAGCACAAGAGAAGTTCGTTGAAAAATGTGTATAGACGAATAACAAGGTCACAGATTTAAAAAAAGCTTAAATATTGGACTTTGTTAACAAAAAACTTTTCCTTTCTTTGTTGACAGTTTGAATGTTCCAAACTAGTGAAATATTATTTAGCAGAAAATTAATCCAAAGATTACAATGGCTCACACATTTCAAGCTTTTTTGTGATGTTAGTGAATATTCATCAGTTTAGACAGAGTGCTTGCTTAAAGTAGTAAGAGAAAAAGTGAGGCCATTTACAGGTCATTGTTAAGACAATGCTGGAACATAATTTACTCTTACCAGAATCACAATCCACTGTTTATAATTTTTGCAAGTGTTTCTCATATGTAATTGAAAAAACTATATCAGGGCAGTATTACTCAATCCTGATAGAGTAACATTGAAGCACATTTACATTATTCATTCCATTATAAACAAATATCTGAACAGAGGAGTGGAGGTGCAATGTTTTGGATTCTTTCGTCTGGTTCTAAAGCACGCAACTTTAAAACTGTACAGTAACAAGTTTATTATTTTTAGCTTGATGCTACCACTAACAAGCAGGTATGCAAGATATCAAACTTAATACTGGAATGTGGTTTAATACATGCTGTCTTTTCCAAAATATTATAAGTAATTAGAAACATATTTTTTCAACATAACATACATTACGTGGAATCATAACTTATGTTAAACATTACTAGATTTAGTGTTAATTCTTTCTCACTTATAATAAAATTTCCAGCATAAAAGCTCATTTTTGCAATGCATAATTTTGTTGTATTAATCTCTGAAACATCTGCAAGCAAACTTGAAAAAAGGCCAACTTGTAAAAATGAAAAAAAAAGACTTGTTTTCAATGGTGATGATTTTTGTTCAAGACCTACTGTTGTAGGTCTTGAACAAAGACCTACTATAGGTCTTTGTTCAAGACCTACAGTAGGTAGGTCTTGAACCTAAATTATTATCATAATAATTTGAGGGTATTATGATAGAGACAAAGAAAAACCTGCTTTAGTTTTGTAAAAGAAAAACATTTAATTGCAATTTGTAATGTATTGTGCTTTCAGTTTAAAATCTATACCAAGAAAATCTTGTCATAAAAGACCTTCAGTTTGAATTAGAAGAGTTAGAAATAAATCTGTATGAGAAAAGACACATCTTCCGTGGGCCCCCAAGGACAAAACCAGTAAATGTAACTCAGGAAACATCCCTGTTGTCTCCAAAGAGCAGGCGTTTGAGTGGCTCAACCAAGTGTCCTTGGGCTAGACAGACACTAACCAACCCTGACACACCTGCTGTACTATTCAGTGTGAGAAAGTGTGGAAATGCATGTCAGTGTATAGAAAAGAAAGTCTCGTTTTGAATCACTGTGCACCTAGGTGAATGTGGCTTGGTCTGTGCAGGGTTTTCAGTGCTCCAACATACAAGCACAGTGCAATGTTTTCTTTGGTTATCCAGAGCAGTGGGAAATAATTTGCCACATCAAAATAATTAACCATGTAAAGATTGTTTTTTTTTTTTTTTGGTGTTTGTTTTTTTTTCTCTTCTTTTTTCATTGAGAAATTATGCAAATGTTAACATCACTCAAAGGTTCAAATAGGTTCTGCTTCCTGTGGCAACATCTGCCATCAAACCTTTAGCATTATAGATAATGAGTCATTTACATCACTGGAGGAATTTTTGCTCTCATTTCTGTATGGCCTGCTTTTGTTCATTTCTCAGTCAAGCTTAGGAGAGGACTTTGACTAGGCCGGCCAATTTTCCACTTCATTTTTTTAAATTTTTTTTTAATAAATTTTGATTTGCCTGCATGCTACAAATTGTTGTCCTGCTGTAGAACATGCAGATCATGGAGACTTCTTTCAGAAAGACCACAAGCCAGTATTTAAACCCAGAACCTTCTTGCTGCAAGGTAACAGTGCAACCAAATGCACTATCATAAAACCAAGTAACTTACAATATTTTGTTCAAATGCTTTTCAGAGGAGTTAACAGTTTTCTTTTGCAGTGTTTTGCCTGAAGATTACATTTCAAATATGAAGTCTCCAAATACACATGAATCAACATCTAACGTTAAAAAATGCATTTGTAAAAAGCCAGACAGATGATTTTCTTTAGTGCCACTCTCAGCATCAAACACACCACATGCTGTAAACATGTAAACTTTAGCACTATCCCACCTATGAGACTTCCTCATATCTCACTCTTTCTATACTCCTCCATCTTTCAGTGGATTCCTTTAGATGAAAAAATGCAGATCCTGCCTCAGTCCTCTGATTAAAAGGAAAAAAAAAGCCTCGACTGGGAATTGTCAGCAACATTCCCATGTGGCTCCAGATGCAGACTCTCGATTGGCTGCTTGATGTATGATTCAGATGAAATGGGAACACCTAATGAGACTAACAAATGGTGCTAACATGGCTCTGAGCTGACGGAAAAACACACAAACACTGCAATTCAAAAGTCATTTAAAAAGGCAACATTATCATGCCATAAAGACGGTATGATACCAATTGTCTGTACAGGTAAAAACTGTGCTGAACCAAGACACAATATTCATTTTGATGCAAAACAAAGAATAAGTTTATGTAAGATTATTATTGGTGTTTGTTCAAAACAATTTGCAAATATGTATAAAGAAATTTTTTATGTTTTTTTTTTTTTTTTTCCTTTTTTTTAACATCCAGTAGTTTTACATTTGCTGATTTATGAATGTTTGTTTGAAACCAAGTTTTGCTTTCTGGACCCGTCTGAGATTTTGAACAATTTCTTCTCCTGAAACAAAACTATTTCAACAAGCATTCACTTCTTTGACCAAAGTACTTTATAAAAGCAGCTCTCAGCACTCGGGTCATTGAAACGGTAAAAAAAATATTCTCAATATTGCCCTTTTTCTTTAAAGAAACATCACTAAACAATCTGAAACCACTTTCTATTTTAACATAGTCTTTACTGCCTTGTTTGGAAAGAAAAAAGCACACAATTTTCCCAATGTCAACTTTTACCAGCTGTTCAAGTGAAAATCTGACACTGATGCCTTTTCAGATTATGACATCAGAGCTAGCCAGTCAGCTTCAAAGGTCATGGCACTGTAGTGTGGAAATATGCTGCTTTGATCAAGATGGCTTGCTTCCAGTCACCCTCAGAGCTCATCACAGCATCCGCATGAGAAACTGTCTAAACAATGATGAGGATGCGCAAGTTCAGTTTTTTTTAACACCAGAGAAATATCTTTTTCTTCACATTGACTGGGAAATCATTATTTTTCAAGGATAGAGTGTATTTTGACAGCATCAGTCAAATATCAGGTTTTTCTCCCCAGACAAAAAAAGAAAAACCTGATTAAAAAAACAAAATCAATATTCTGTCTCTTTCCTTTACACTGTTTTTATTTAATTGTGTTTCTTTTTCCCTGCTGCCAGTGGTTTATGCTGGCACAAATCTACA